TTATGTTCATCGATTTGGGACAAATATTTGCTATAGCAAAACGCAGTTGTTACAATCGGCATTAATTAAAACACTCGCATTAATGAGTTTCTTCTTGAGGGTGTGCCTTATCCATATCAGTTCCTAGTTTCGCGTACATTTTGGTGAGGAGATCTGTGTTGTGTAGTACTTCTCGGGGATGGTGATCGAGCACGACTATTACATTTGTGGCGTTCACACCACTCCATGCTTTTTCGAACTTTTTCATTTCGTTCTCCATTCTATCTTCTATGGTTATCATTCGACGTATTTCGTCCTCCACTCGATGTGTTATAGTTTTCAATCGATCTTCCATTTAGTTTCCATTTGATCTTCTAAACATTGCATAGTTTCCAAATCCGTTTTCATGTTCTTCACTTGACCTTTAATTTCTGCTATTTCATTTTTGTTTATTTGCTTCCACGTCCATTTAGAATTTTTCAGTGAGGCTCATTTGCTTGTGGGAACAACCGTTCCCCAGAAACACGTTAAAATGTATATAAATTTCTGTACAAATGTAAATATGTCCGGATCTAATTTATCTCTACCGTCTACTTGTCCTCCTACGTTCTCTTCCAACTTCTAGAATTTCTAAACTTTTTTTCTTTACCTGCTTCCACCTCTCCAAAACCAAACCTACCTATCGACAAATTCAAACACCCTTTCTGCTTCTTCCTCGAATCCTCAAACCGTACGGACCTAATAAAAATTTGAAAAGCATAACCGTCGCTATTTCTTAGATCACCAACGATATCCACAACTGGTGACCCCGACATGATAAAAAGAAAAGAAACGTGAGTATTAGCAGTGATTGTGACGTAGTGAATGCGGGATTTCGAGGGTGAAAGCAAAACGATGGCGGCAAACGACACGAATACGAATCCATCCGCGACCCAATCATCAACCCACTGGGAAACGTTAGCCCGATTGGAACGCACCTTGGCGGCCCTGGTACAAAAGCTGGCTGCAATGGAGGTCCCACTGGGGTTTTGGCGACAAATCAAGAAGATGTGGCAAGCCGTGTAAGTACAGTTACGTACCGGCGGGAAACGCATAGGGCAGTCGTTAACGACGGCCGTTGACGTTTACCCCACTGCCCTTACAACAACGTCGCGCCGTTTATTAGGCACACCGAGAGGACAACAGGAAAAAAATTCCTATCGACACCGGCACCGACTTATGTGTGTTCCTGCATGCCCTGATACCAAAACCGCTCATGAAGTCGTTGACGTTGAATTTGGCCTTACGGCGGCAGCGCGAGTTTGCGATCTCATCCGTCAAAACCATTTTCCCACGAGCTCCTCCAACAGTTTTCCTAGTCACGCGGCCAGACAGAACACCTATGGTAGTGAAACACTCCACCCACCACCACATTCTAACCAGGCAGCAAGAAAATTGGACGCCATGGTCAAACTAGGGATCGTCCCTCCTTCGCAAAGTTCATGATTTTTACCGCTTTACATGGTGCCCAAGAAGGGCGACGAATGGAGGCCATGCGGGGATTACAGTGCCCTCAACACGGGAACTTGCTCCGACAGGTACCCGGTGAGGCACATCCAAGATTTTGCGCAATCCTTACACGGCAAAATAATATTTTCAACGATCGATCTGGTTCGCTCATTCAACTAGATCCCGGTCGCGGAAGAAGACGTTTCGAAAACTGCCATTACCACCCCATTCGACTTGTATGAATTCCAATCCATGACGTTCGGGTTACGAAACGCAGTGCAGACGTTCCAGCGATTCATGGACAAGGTGCTCCAGGGTCTCGATTTCTGCTATGCATACATCGACGACATCCTAGCCGCATCCGCATCACCAGAAAAACACCTCCAGCACTTGCAAACTGTGTTTCAGCGTTTGAGAGTGTACGGCGTCGTTATCAATCCCATGAAATGCGTTTTCGGTCAGCCAGAGGTCAAATTGTTAGGATAACTCGTTTCGGGTGCAAGTACACGCCCACTTGTGAAAAAGGTCGAGGCAATCCGTAGCTTCCCGCAGCCAAATACGGTAAAAAAGTTGTTCTTGGGTATGTTGAATTTTTTTAGGAAATTCCTACCTAAGGCGGCAGAGACTCAAGTACCCTTGCATGACCTTCTCCAGGGCAACGTCAAAGGAAAAACTTCGGTCAACTGGACACCAGCAACGGTGGCCACATTATCAGCACATAACCGTTGGTTATTTTTTTGGACGCGTCAGATTTCGCCGCCGGAGCAGTCCTCCAACAGAAGGTCAATGGTCACTCGCAACCGTTGGACTTCTTCTCCAAGAAACTGAGTCCCACCGAGTCAAACTACAGGGCTTATGACCGAGAATTACTAGCCGTTTATCTCGCGGTCAAACATTTTAGGCACATGGTAAAGGCGCTGTTTTTCACCATCTATACAGGCCACAAGCCGATTACATATGCCTTTCAGAAGAAGAACACCGAGTCCTCACCCCGCCAAATACGACATCTGGACTTCATCAGTCAATTCACGACTGACATTCGCCACATTGCAGGGACCGAAAATGTTGTGGCAGATGGTCTTTTCCGCCCTGGAGACTCGATCGATTTTCAGGCTCTGGTAGCAGCACAACAGCAAAATGAGGAACTATAAAGACTTCGAACAGGCTGGTACGAATCCCAGGCTTCGACGTATCGGTAGTCTGCGACGTCTCCACGCGAATAGCCCGTCCTTTCGTCACCGGGTCGTTTCGCCGAGCTGCATTCGAATCGATCCACCGTCTATCCCATCCGGGCATTAAAGCCACCGTAAAACTGGTGATGCAACGTTACGTCTGACCATTGGTCGAAGCAGATTGTCGAGAGTGGACCCGCAACAACGTAGAGTCCCAGCGTTCGAAGATTTCACGCCACGTCTCTTCGCCCGTCGGTACGTTCTCGCCACCATCAATCCCGTTTGAGCACGTGCACTTAGACATAGTAATTATGCCACTCTCAGAGGGTTGTCGTTACTGCCTTACCATGGTAGATCGATACACTCGCTGGCTAGAAGCCGTACTTATTTTTGTAACCAACATTTCCATTTTTCTTCCATTTTCTCGTCTCTTGCGTCCATATTTTTATCCATTTCTTTCTTACTTGCGTACATCTTTTAGTCCATTTTTTGTTTCTTGCGTCCATCTATGCAAGCATAGCCATCATCTATTATCTGATTTACTTGTTCCTCTATTGCTGCAGTTCTCCAGAATTCGTGTCCAACCTGTCTGTTCGTTTTTCGTAGAACCAATGAGGTATTAATCTTGAATCTCAACCCTGACACAAGTGTTACGATTTACGGGAATTAATGCGGCGTGGGTAAAAACTCAACGATTTATTCTTTGACAGATAAATAGAACATAAAACTAATAGTGATAAAGTACACCGAATAATTCTCCTGTCTTATAGTAACGTGATCGTACTCAGGGCTCGCTTCGACTTGAATTGACTTACTTCCGATTGTGGTCCCTTTTAAAACAACCAGTTTTCCTTCCAGAACTTCGGGAAGCTTGTACTGAATTGGCCATGGGTGGCGCGTCTACTCGGCCCATGGTTTTATTTTTTAACAATATTGTAAAATTAGAAACAGTAGGTTTGCCGCTGACTTCTTCAGTAGAAACAAATCCGAGTATCATAGCTGCGTCTATGCTAAAGAAATTTGGAGATACTTTAAAGAAAAAGTAACGGTAACAACTATTTAACAAATTCAGAAAAATTTTCAGAGGTGAAAATGTAAGCAATTTTGTTTATACAGTGAGCGACATTATACAGGTGGTCCAAATATAATGAAACAGACGGGACCGTAGGCGCTGTACTTGATTCTGTGAAAAATGCTCGGACAGGTCGATTTTTGATTCGAGGACGTATTTTTGTTATGTTTGTATGGTGGTGAATGAAGGTCATTTTCAACATTTATTACGTTGACATTGTTAACGAGTAACTAAAAAGAGGTGATATTTTGTCGATTTTTATTTATAATTTCTCAGTAACCAATCGACCGACTGTAAAAATTCAAACACTGTCAGAAAGAGAATTAGTAGAGCTTCACACGATGTCTTTTGACTCATAGTGCCATTTAAGATTTTTGACTTGATAGTCGCCCCTCGTTCCTGGGTGACGAATCAAAAATCGAGATGTTCGAACATTTTTCACATAACCAAGTACAGCGCCTACGGTCCCCTCTGTTTCGCTTTGGTTGGGCCATTTTACCTGAAAATATCTTTAGTACGAAAAATTTAGAGGTATATCTATCTAGTATGTAATATAAACAAATAAAAAATACAACTTAGATGAGGAATTTTTTGTTGCCTCAAAATGCCACATTTCGGATTTTTGGGACCTACCGAATTGAGACTGAATTTAAATTTTCAACTTTCCCAAAACTGCCACTGCTTTCTTGTTCTTATCAAGAGTCACTACAATATCTAATATTTGCAGTTATATTTGTTTTCATAATTCACTGAAACTTAAAAAAGCAAAACTTCAAGACTAACGAAGATATTACTAAAATTAAAATGTTGTTGCCATTTGAAATGGCACATACTGCACATAATACAATAAAGAAATGTTGCATTTCAACTGTATCTAAAATCTAGACTTCCTTGTGAGGAAACAATATAACGATGCAACTAGTACGAAAAAATTCCAGTCAGATTGTTGGACAAATAATGAACGTTAAGTCCTTAATCAACTATATATTAAATTAGAAGATAAATATTACGTCTTACAATTTACTACAGTGCCATCAATAGATTTTTCTCAAAAAAATTGTTTTCGTTTTACTTAACGATAAAAGCATTTGCCAACAGCAGTATCATGTGACACTAATACCAATCTCAAAGCAATCGCCATATATTCCTTATTAAAACGTTATAAGCACGCTATTCATTTAAAAAGAGCGCTTCTGAAAGCTTTTAGCGCCGTATTCACATTAAAGCGTATTTTCAAAGCTTCTTTTAGAGAACACGACAAGTACATATATGTGTAGATGAACACTTACTCTAGAGATGGTGGAACGGGGAGAGGTTTATCGAAGCCGGCTTTTCCCAGAAGCCAATACGTGTGCATTGTCCCCTTTCCTTTTATTTCCGTAGGGCCTCTGTACTCCAGCTGATAACCCCCGGCTCTCTCCAATCTTTCTTTCGTCGCTTCGGAGAGATGAATCCTCCACGCCGCACCTGAGCACATATTTAAATGATGTCTGCTTACAAATGCATGTGATGATACACACCTGTTGATTCCATTCTTGAGGCAGTATTAACCGTGTCCCCAAATAAGCAATACCTCGGCATTGTCAATCCGACGACACCGGCGCAGCAGGGACCCGTATGGAGGCCTATCCTTAGCCTCAAAGGAGTGCCGGGAAGGTGTGTTATGCGAAACCGACCGCTTTGATGTAATAAATCGAGGGCCATTGTGGCAATCTACGAGAAAATACCAGTGAAATGCATTTAAGCTAAAAGCACGCCGAACGCGTCTTGCACATTTTTAAAATTGAGTGTACTTGATAAAGCTTTCAGGGAGCTTTCAGCTTACTGCAATGATCAAATGCTACAGCAAATGCAACATTCGTTCAAGTGAGAAATGAGGTGGTTAATTTACAATTGAATTCCGTCAGATTTTCAACAAATGTTAACAAAAAGCTCTTTGAATTGTGTGATTCCTTTTCAGAAATATCTTAATGGTATTTATTCAGCTTTTACAGTAAAATTTAACTGAAAATTTTAAAACTGGTTGCAAATGATTATCTAGAGACGAGAGCTTATATACTTGCTAGAAGCATTACCTAAGATTAATATTGATGGAACTACGATTTTGTCAGTTGAAGTATAAAAGTGTTAACACAGGAAATTATTACTTTATTAGGTAAGTGATACTACACGTTTACGTAAAATTTCGTTGTTTAGGAGTAGTGTGGTAATAGCCTCTAGAGTTTACATTATCGGAATTAAAAGAGAGAGCGGTGTTTTTTTCGTTTGAGAAAACAGGCGAGAGAAGTTTTTGTACTAATGAGAGGAACGTTTGTTAAATTTTCTGTTAGCTGTTTGATGTGTGTGCTGATGTAAAAATTTAATGACTTTTATAAACGCAAAAGCGCTCCTGTTGCGGTTATTTAAGAAAATTTAAAAGCACGGACTTGATATGATTCTACGAACATCAGCTTGACCTCATATTCTTTATTACATTAACATTTAAATCAGCGACCGATTGTGTTTAAAGATTACTATTATTTTTTGTAGTTTTTGCTTTTCTTTCACATCTGCGATAATGATTTTTACAGTTATTACTCCTATGCTGAAAATGTGGATCTATACATCACAAAAAAGTACAACATATTTACATTTAATAACTTTGGTTACAGTTTAAATGGGCTGCAGTTGTAATCCTATATTTTAGAATAATAAACCATTTCCAGCTTTTTCGAAAAATTACAGAATTTGATTTGTGACTTTTATTTTTTTTATGAAAACCTTTATAAGTTAAAATAAAGATATGAATGTAATGTTAAAGTAAATGTAAAGAAGCGTGCTACGCGTATGTTTCAAATGAATTTTTTCCTTTACAAAAATTTGTGATGATATCATCAACATTTTTACAAGGACACGTGTATCAATTTGGATAGGTGTAGTGTAAACTTAACAATAACAATATAGCATTCCCAAATTTTAGGGACAAAGGTTCCGAATTCAATTAATAAATAAAGTTATTATTATTATTATTATTATTATTAGTTTTGCGTTCGGGCAGAGGCCTAGCCTGCTATGCCCGCGCTACCTAGCTACCTAACTAACAAACGAATCCAATTAATTTTAACCATTATAATTATCAAATTTAATTTTGAAATTTGTCACTGTATCAGCTTCAACAATACTGGCTGGTAAGGCGTTCCACGTCTCGAAAACTCTATTAGAAATAAAATGTTGCCTCACTGTGGAGCGGAATTTATCCTTCACTAGTTTAAAACAATGCCCTCTAGTTCTACTAAGTGTATTCAGGGGAAACAAATGCCTGATGGGCGATTGCGGATCTTTAAGCGCCCGAAAAGTTAAAATTAGGTCACCTCTCTTACGCCGATTGGAAAGCGTTGGAAGACCCATCATTACAAGTCTGTCAGCATACTGCGGCCGAATTCTACCAAATGGAATTCTTGTGGCCCTTCTTTGCACAGATTCTAATAACTCTATATCCCGTTGAAGAATTGGAGACCATATGTAATTGGCAAACTCAAGAACTGGCCTGACATAACTCTTATAGAGCTTGCTAATGACAGATATATGACTTCTCGCAAATGCTCTCCCCAACAAATACACCATTTTGTTCGCCTTTCTAATAGTACTCAAGACATGTTCGGACCAAGAAAGAGTGGACGTGACAAGTACCCCTAAGTCGACGTGGGAATCAGATTTACACATATCTACACCGTCTATCAAATAGGTATGTTGGGGATTGGCGTTCCCAATGTAAAGAACTCTACATTTTGCAATATTAAGTGGAAGTAACCATTCCGAGCTCCATTTGCACACTTCCAGAAGGTCTTGAGTCAATGCCATCCAGCTACTACTTAAGTTATACAATTTAACATCATCTGCGTACATGGCAAATGAGGACCTCAACCTAAATTTCAAATCGGCTGTATAAACTATGAACAGTAGCGGCCCAAGAACGGATCCCTGCGGCACACCACTTAAAACTTGTACACAGTTACTTAACGCACCACCGACCCTCACTCTGAATGTCCGCTCCGATAAGAAAGCGTCAATCCACTGGTAAAGATTTCCCCTAATACCTAAATGCTGGAGCTTAAACAACAAATGACGCTTAGGCACACGATCAAAAGCTTTAGAGAAATCCAAGTAGATGACATCAACCGAGTTTCCCAAGTCAAGTTCTTTTGTCCAGTCAGAAAGACAACAAAGAAGATTGGATATGATGGATTTTCCCGGGAGGAAACCATGCTGCTCCATTGGTACAAGTTGATGTTCAGTAACAAATTTTAGGATAGATTCATAAATTATTGATTCCATTATCTTAACAACTAACGAAGTCAAACTAACAGGACGATAATTTGTTGAACAGAAGTTGTCCCCTTTTTTAAATATAGGGCGAACTATGGCTATCCACCAGTCACTCGGTAGAGTTCCCTGGGAGAATGACTGCTCCATCAGACGACTTAAAGGTTGGGCAAGAGAGTCAGCACAGTTTAGCAAAAGCGAGGCATTAATTTCATCTGGACCAGGCGACTTAGTACATTTTAATTTTTTCAGTTTCGCGCAAACGACCGTTTCTGGAAACTCAACACTGTCAAGATAAAGACCATGACTAGGTCCAGCCAAGTTTGGAAGTATGTTGTTCGGCGCAATCGTGAATGCACTAGAAAAAGTTTGTGCAAAAATCTCAGCCACACTAGCACAATCCTCGATGACACGACCATTTTCATCTTTTAGTTGCGGAGTGGTAACCGAGCCAGATATTTGATTACGAACATGTTTGTAAAAACGTTTGACGTCGTTAATTTTTTTTTAATCACCATGTATAAGCAATTCTAAAAAACATGAATGGAATGATAAATTACAAGTATAGACTGATCATACTGTGCACATTTTCGTTACGATTTATACGGCAAATTTTTGAAATAAAGTTGTAAATTTTTTGGAAGGAATAAACTGATATTTTGATTACAAATTTACCATGGTTTCGTATGCAAGATTTCAAAGCATTCGGTTTTGCAGTTTCTGATTGATCAATAAACTCTGAAATCTTGTAAATGTTTTACGGTTATTGTAAGAGTAGTAAATCTTTAGCCAAAATTTATCTATTTATCCCCTCCCAAAAAATTTGATAAAGGCATCTTTATTTTTTGCCGAATAAAATATAAAATATTCATAGTATAAAGAATCTACAGTTGTTGCTTATCAATGCATTGATATTTTCTAGAATTGCCTGTACAAAGTGAGTCGAAAAAATTAATGAATGAAGCGATATTTTTTATTGCCAATCCCATTTTCTCTAAAATTTGAGGATACATTCCTGTTAGAAATACGTAGTATTAAACTGCACCAGTGCACCTATTCAAATTGATATACGAATCGTTGCTGAAAATGTTGATGATGTCATAAAAAAAACTCACTAGAAACGTTTGTATACGATGTGTTTTTTCAATCCATACGCATATTTTCGCGCATAGGGGTTATCTTGGAAAAAAATAAAATTCTCAAAATTGATTTTCTTTATTTTTTTTTAATGAAATGATTAAATTATTTGAATGTTAAAAATGGGTGTAAAGTTTCTTGGAACAATTGTAAAATTTGATTTTACGAATTTTACTTTTTTTTTTAGATTAACTCCCATAAACAAAGACGTGTGGTTTGTTATAATACTCACAACAACATTATTCCCAACATTTAGGGAAAGTGAGGTAACCCGTTTTTAGTTTAATCAAGTTGGCAGATTTTAAGTAAATTGTAAAATTTTGTTATACAATATTTTCGAAAAATCTGGTTATCTAACATAAAAATTAAAGACCGATTCATAAACCACAGATATACATGTATGCTATTTTATATAAATTAAATAGGATTTACTTTGCGAAATTTTGAAATGACGACATCAAATTGTTGGTGACGATAACGAGATAAACTTTGGTTGGCGTTTTACCATCTACACGATATTCCTAAAATTTACACATCTAAAATTTGACAAGTCAGTCCAGCAGCTTGGAGACTGTCTAATGAAATTTCAAACAACTGACAAATGACACGAAATTAGCTGTTTGACATATGGGCCATATTACAATATAAATAAAAATCGTAACCCGCTTAACAAGGATTAAAAGACTGTTTTAAGTCATCTTAGTTATAGTTATAGCTAGTTTATAGAAGTAATAACTATTTACAAAAATGTGCTCTTTTCACGATGGTTTTATTTGTAATGCTATTTTTTATGATTACGCAATATAATCATTAATCACTAATCAGTTGGTAGCAGATATAATGCGCGTAAGCTTCCTGACAGTGGTTTTCTGGTAGCAACGAAGCGTTGTATTTCTACTGTTTTAAATGCAGTTTTATTTAAACGAATGAACTATTCCACTCCACCAGACAACTAAAATTAACTATTTCCAGAAATTTGATTTCTTGATGAATTGTTGGCAAACACGGAACCTATTTTTCAGAAAGGTTTTAAAACTTTAACTTTTTACTTGAAACAGAAAAATCAAATTCGTTTGAGATATTTACAGCCCTAGCAATTTCTTACGTGCCTTTAATCAGCGAGTTAAAACAATATCTTACATTTAATGAATGACTTTCGAAGTGGTTGTACATTGTTCGGATCCCTACGTGAAACAACTTCCAAGTTTCTGCGAGAATGTTTCAACTACTAGCTTAACAAATATGTGTGAAGGCATACTTAATACGTCTTTATA